TTCCTAAAGCTGGCATTGACTTCAAATGTGTTACGTTTGCTGACTTGGCAAATATATTCTTAATGCCATCTACTTAGGCCCACGCGTCTCTTTAACAAAAGTTACAAAGACTACTTTATGTTAGAGCCGCAATAAACGTAATGAAAAACTCGACAGCAATGGCAACACTCAATTTTCGTTTAGTCATTAAAACGAGTCACACACACTCACACACACTCAGGCACACACACCCACGCATACAACGGGACACTTTTGCTAACCTGCAATATGATTCATCAAAACGAATGCGGATGATGCGAATGGGAAACGCGACCGCAGCGCGTATTGCATTTCCGCTGGTTATTCATGGTCAATGAACGCGGCTGATGCATGCGATGTAGTCATAAAATCAAAATGCAATGCAAATTAAAGAACAACAACGGCAACAGCAACAGCAATAGCAAAAACAACATTTCCTGCAATGCATTGGTGTTGGCAATGTGTTTACGTTAGCACGTTTGTCAATGGAATACACACACACACACATACACACGCTCACCTCTAATACTGCCCACCGGCTCGCCCACTCTCGCGGTCGGCGCAGCTAAATTAGTTTTTGCCATTCACGCTGAAAATTGTGTTTTACAGCCCAGAAGCGATGCAGCAGCAAATGCAAATGCAAATGCATAAAAACTATTGCCTACTTTTCAGCGAAATATTTTCTGCTGCAGACTGCAGTTGCTGAAGCGCATTATTGCGCTTTATCTATGCGATTGCAATTTACAGGATGAGTGAATTGGAGGAGTATGGATGGAGAAATTGAAAGGTAACAAAACTGAATGTAGGTATAGTTAGGTTTTACAGCAACTTAAATGTAATTTTTTGTTGTTATTTATTAAGTGTAATCTGTACAAGATATGCCCTGGTAATTGAGCTGATAGATATGGCATTTACTGTGAAGTGAGTCACTGCTTTGCTGGCAGCGCTTCAAGAGCAAAGCTCAGCTTTGGTCAACTGGATGGAACGCAATTAACTCCCCTAGGCTCATCTGGTAGAACTATTTTTCTTCTTAATTAATCTGCTGTTGAAATTTGAAGATAATGGAATTTAATTTTGAGAAAATGATATGTGCTCAGCTTTGTATAAGACCAGGCCAGTTTAAGACTTTAGGAACCAGCACTATGGTTAACCGTGGATAGATACACATCATTGAGAGAGATTTTCGCCAGCATTTTTTAAATACCCTTAATTATTCTTCACGCAAAAGACAATTAAAAATAAAATACCAAATTTGAATAAATCTTTAAAAAAATAAATATTATTTATAGCTCATAGAACTAATGAATTACCATCAGCCAAAGTAGTAAAGCTCTTCTTTGGCACTAGATTGAGTGCACTGTGCCCAAACTTACCGCTAGATCAGCCTACATACATATATATATATACCCACCCATACCGCCTTCTACATCCCATTGGCCAGGCCTATTGTAGCTGGCCAAATTTTGCAAAAGTTTTTCTGTTTTGTTTTTTGTTTTTGATCGCTTTATCTATTCGTTTGTAATTAAGTTTATCAATTTCATTTCATTTAGCGGCCATAAAATGGCCATATATACAGTGCCCGCAAAAACTGCTGACACGCGAGCCCGAATACGGCGGCCAATGAGAGTGCAAAGTAAGCAGCATGTGCGTGCCCTGTTTTTATCAAATTTACGCTTATTGCATTTTAATTAATTATAAACAGGTAATTATGTTAAACATACTAGGGCACAAACAAACACACACACACACACACATACACTCATATACTCATTTCGCTCGTTATTATCTGACAGGCTTCCACTGACAAAAAAACAAGAGAGAATAACATGCAGATTCCCCCCTCCCCACCACAGACGATTACCGAGTGCTTAAAATTAAAGCTGGAGCTGGGCAGAATTTTTTCTGTTTTGCTCACCCATTGAACTCATTGAAAATGGGGAGTCAGGCATATTGACTTGCTTCAAATGTTGGCAACAGCCAGATAGAAACGTGTATATATTCTTGATCTAAGCAGGAAGACGTTCCCCCGCGTAGATCAGTCTGCCCGTATGTTTGAACTCGTCAATCTCTGAACCTATAAGATCTGCAGAATGAAAATTTTACTCATAGTTCGCGTAGATCGAGTTGATTTATAAAATTGATTCTTTATTATAATCGGCTAGAGCTTATAAATGTTATAAGAATTTTCTCGTTTATCTGCAGAGCGAAAGTCTGCAATTTTACATATAGTTTAATGTGAGTTTTATTTTATATACATTGAATATGTTTTTTATATCCCAAATCCACTTCCATCCCTAGAAACTTATAAAAATTTTGTTCAGCCAACTTTTTAATGCCATCACATATAGAAGGTCCATTCATCAACAAAAAACGGCCATAATGAAGTAAAAAATCATTGAAAAATCTGTTCTCTACAGAGATCAGAGCATTTCATAGTCGAATAGCCTTTCTTATTTTTTTTTTTCGTTACTGTGTTTTTTTTTTTTTTTTGATTTTGTCCTGGCGGACGGCATAAAATTAACTAATTTAATCCGTGTTTGTTCGCTTAACTGCACTTTTAAGTGCCTGGCCATAAATGTTCATTGCCTAAATGCTTCCGCTCATAAATTTTTGCATAATGCGCCGCATGTGTCAATAATGTGCGGAAAATCGTTTCCGAAACTCCAATTGCAAGGCTGCAGCCGGAAAATGTTTTTATGACAACATTCAGAGTTTCAGCTGCTGCT